ATTAGAAGACATGGTTTTGAAATGGGCATTTGGAATACAACAACTGCAAAAACATTATGCAGAGGTGAAAAGAAAAAGAAAGAGGAAAAGGAGGAAAAGGTAACATTAATAAACACAACTTCTATGCTTAACAAGTATGCCAAAGATATTGCAAACCTAAAGAAAACCAATGCTTAGAAAAACAACAACAAAATCAATAATGAGAATATGGATTCATTCAGGATAAGTTAAAATTAGTTTTATAATAAGAATAGTCTCTAAAGAAGTTTTCAAAATATTTAGAATGGTCAGTGATAAAGTAAATATCAACTTTCATTAAAAAAAAAATTAGAAAAAAACCCAACATGGATAGATAGGAGAATAAATTAGAAGCATTGCAAATTATTTTTAAATAATCAATTTTAAGAAAGTGGTAATTAAGTCTTTAAAAAGGAAAAAAAATAAACTTCAATGGACTGGATCAATGTCAGACCAAAAAAAAAAAAACAAACCTACAACTACTCAGAAGACAGCAAACAAGAATCAAGAGACAGGAGGTGTAAAGAAGATAGAAAAACAGTGAAGAAATTAGAGTTATCAGTTTAAAGGTCAACATACTGAAAGAAACTAACAAGAGTTTCAGGGGAAAAGAGTAAGAGAAATAGCAGAGAAGGAATATTTAAAGAAAGGAAAATTCAGAAGTTTCTTAAACTAGAAAAAGATATGAGCTTTCAGGTCTACCCATTCATACTAAACAAAGACAACTTCATACTTGGAAAATGAAGAATAAAGAAAAAATCTAAAAGCTACCAGATCCTACAAATCAATATAAGAAAAAGTAGACAACCCAACAGAAAAATGTATGAGACTTGAACACTTCACAAAAGAAGTCACCTTCTAAAAAGGTGTTCAATTTTATTATCAAAGAAGTGAAAATTAAAACCACAACTTGTTGGTAGAATGTTGCCTAAATAGTATCTTCACAAGCTGTTGGGAGTATAAATTGACACTTCTGTGGAAAGCAGTTTAGCTATAATTACAAAAGCTCAACCTATGAATATCCTATAATTTATTAATCCGTTATAGATGGAGTTGTCAGAAATGCATTACCAAAAGACACAAGAATGTCAATAATAGTACTGTCATACTAGCCATAACTTTCAACTACCCTAATATCCATGAAGAGATAAATGGGTATATGAACATGGAAGATTCATACAATGAGGTATAATCCAACAAGAAGCATGTAACTCATGAAAAAACATATTGAATAAATCTCTTTAACATAATGTTGATCAAAATAAATCACTGATTGGAAGAAGATACAAAACATATACCTGATAAAGGATTTGCACACATAATTATAAAGAACCCTTATACATTTCAATAAATCAAGCCAAACAATCCCACTTTGAAATGCCCACTTTGAAAATGGGCAACATTTTTGCAAAGGCACTCTACTAAAAGATATATGAATGGTGGTAATCTGCTAAAAGATTTACTAAGACAGATCTGAGATTAACAGTGATGACATAATTTTTTAAATTTCCCCAACTCATTACCTCCTATAAAAACAAAATGACTAAAAAAACACTACAAAACCAAAAACTCAAAGCAATTTTCATCACAAAAGTTGATAAATTACTCTACCAAGTGTAGAGTGAATGGTCAGGTTTCTGTGCCATTGGTCTCTGTGGCTATCATCTGTGGTCTTGAATGGGGAGGTGCTTGAGATCATGCACCTGGGGTATACATTCTTGATGGTGGATACTTGGAACGTGGTGTGGGCATGCATAAATGGGCATACCTGATCCTGGAGGCTAAATATGTAAGGGCAGTATGGCAGAGAACCAGGTGGTGGGGTGCAGTGGGAAGCGGCTGAGTGGTGGTGAACAGCTAAAAGCAAAGAGTGTACAGAGATTTGTGGGATGGGGGGGTAGGGGGGCCAGTTGCTGTCTCCCTGCTTGCTTTTTATCTCCTAAACTGTGAGGATGATGCCAAGAGCTTCAAGCTTCTCTCTCTCTTTTTAAGATTTATTTATTTATGCTTACAGAACTGGAGTATAGGCCAAAGGTGCAGGGGCGGTGAGAGGATTCACCAGAGACAGAGTGGGGAGCAGAACAGGCAGATCTACTGAAATATACTGCTCAAGGGAGCAGCGTGTGGGTCAGGAGAGGCCTGCTGCAATATGTGGGTCAGCTCACTGGCGGGGATCCAACTCATGCTGCAGTGGCTCTGGAGTGTTTCTAATGCGGTGCTTTAACCCATTGTGCCACCAAGGAGAGCCCTCAAGCTTCTCTTTTAATCTGCCTGAACTGGTGATGAACTTCCCCAGCCTGGGAAGGCTGCAGAACACCAAGTCACCTATAAGAGTTCAATAAAATTGTAAAGAATAGACAGCAACATCCTAACTGCTTTTATGCAAGGAATGACAGTTATACTCTGAAAAGACTTGAGCAGAGAGGCCCTATGAACTCATGAACCTTATGAGCTGAAGCTCCACTTTGAGGAAAATATCCTGGGAATAGAAATTGTTAGACAGGCCTGAGACAAAAAGCGCAAAGCCAGATGGTTACAGAAAAATCAGTGCACATTCTACATCTGGAGATCTCAGAAAAGGTAAAGAGTAGCCCTCTTGACCAGTTTTCCTTTCTCACTCTCAAATCAAGATTCATGAAAATGAGTTAGCAGATACATAGGAAAAGACTACATGAGTGCACAAGTTCCCAGCTAATGGCAATGCTGGTAAGTCTGAGGCCACATTTTAAATGTTCAAGTCATCACTGGGAGATCAAGTTTAACTTTCGGTTCTCATTTTGGGAAATACTTTCTAGCAATGTTTGTCTGTAACAAGTCAACTTACATAATTGGATGGTCATGTAGTGTTTGCTGTAATACACGTTATTACTGCAAGGAAGGCCAAAGTAGAATACCCAGTTTACATGATGGGGCAGGGATCATGTCTATGGCATAGCCCGAGCAACCTGCAGCCAGTAAACATGTCAGTTGCCATTGCTGTATGTTCAATGAGCATGGCTCTATACTCACTGAGTTACTGGTGTGAGGCCATGACTGTAAGTAGTTACTTCACCAATGGAAGGGAAAATAAGTAAACAGTATAACCACAGCTTGCATTATTCTGGGATTTGAACAATCCAGAATCTCCAGCAAGGTCTGAATTGTGCTTTGCTCAGAAATACAATAAATAAAGTTCAAAGTTCGCCTGCCCCAACCCTCCTGGTTAACTCAAAGCAAGTGCACAGCACAGTCAGCCTAACTTGAGATAGAAGGAATTGATCTGTCTTGGAAAAGGTCATACGAGACTCTCATACTTTTTGTCTCTGCTGAGTATGCAACTTCTTGTAGCAATCACAGCCAATGACTATGGAGGACAAAGGGTGGCCACATCTTCAAGTATTTTTATTGCAGTGGTGTGTGAAATCAAGACATGTAAGTAGTTTACAATCAGTCTGTATTAACCTGTACACCAGTGTTCCAAATGAACTAAGTCCAGATTCTACTTTTACCACTGATATAACTAATCTGAATAAAGCTTAAGGTATAAAAAAAGTCTTCTTGTCTTCTCATCCTCAATTTCCTCATCTGCAGAATGGGTTTTATGCTACCAACCTCATAATCTATAGTGAAGTATAAGTGGAATAACACGTAAAACATCTTCTATGGTGCTTGGCAAGTTTAACTATTTTTCACCGATTGACACTTTCATGTCACACACATGACCTAGTTAACAACAGGTACATTACTGACTATTGAGAATTATGAATATACATATGGCTCTGTAATATTAGGTGATTTTTAAGACTAGACTTTACATATTTGTGCTTGAGAAAATAACTATGTACCCCTATTGACAATAGTGCTTAAAACACTTGGTAATCAGGGCCCTCCCTGTTGGAGCAGCGGGTAAAAGCACAGCACTAAGAAGCTAAAGCCACTTCCACATGAGTTCAATCCCTACCTGCCCCAGAGGTGATCCCACATGGCATGGCAGACCTTTCCTGTCTCACCAGCTGCTTCCCTCAGCAGTGTATTTCAGTAGATCTGCCTGTTCTGCTTCCCACTCTGTCTCTGGTGAATCCTCTCACCGCCCCTGCACCTCTGGCCTGTACCCCAGTTCTGTGTATGCACAAATAAATAAATCTTTTTTTTTTAAAGATGTATTTATTTGTGCATACAGAACTGGGGTACAGGCCAGAGGCTCAGAGGTGGTGAGAGGCTTTACCATAGACAGAGTGGGGAGCAGAACAGGCAGGTCGTCGAAATACACTGCTGAAGGGAGCAGCGGGTGGGTCAGGAGAGGTCTGCCATGCCATGTGGTCACCTCCGGGGCAGGCGGGAATCGAACTCATGCGGAAGTGGCTTAAGCTTCTCAGTGCTGTGCTTTAACCAGCTGCGCCACCAGGGAGGGCCAAATAAATCTTTTTTTTAAAAAAAAAAACCATATTCTCTGTAACATTAGCAAAGATAAATCATGCCCTTCATTCTGAAAAATTTACATATGCGTACAGAGACAAATATATGGTCCTACTAATAATAAAATCAGATAATTCCTAAAAAAACTTTTATAATTAAAGTTTATGAATAAAAATTATGTCAGGTAAAATTTCTTAAGGTCTATTAAGACAGCTTTCTTGGGTATCCTCTAACACTGCTAGTGGGAATATAAACTTGTTCAGTCATTATGATAAAGTGTGGCAATGGCTCAAAAAACTAAAAGTGGCTCTAAAATATGATCCAGTGACTCCACTACTAGGAATCTACCCAAAGAACAAAAACAAAATGAAAACTGCTCTCCTATATTCAATGCAGCATTATTTGTAATAGCTAAGATATGGAAACAGCCTAAATGTCCAAAATAGTTACATGGATCAAAAAGTTGCATTATATATATATATATATATAATACATATATGTTTACACACACACAGCACATTCATCTTATTATATGCCCACAAACTAAGTGTAGTGTTTGGATGTTAAAAATATTCAGCAGATATTTATTGAGTTGATAGTATTAATTCATGACAATCAGAATGAAAAAAAGTCTTGAAACACAAATACAAAAATTAAAATAAGTCTTTTATAGAAAAAATTTTTTATTCCACAAAGCCACAAGTTTCCAGAGTCAAGCATGCAGAGTCAAGCAATGGCAACTGACTTTTACGTCAGTGGTTACCTCTAGACAAGGAGTGAAGACAGTTTAACATCAGGCAGACATACCTGATGGACCAGAAATCCACACTTGTTCCTATTTGGCTCTAAATCAAATTAAATTTATTCTGCTAAAACAGGATGATGTGCATAAAGGTTCATTATTCTCAAATTTTCAAATTATAAACCCAGAATTTTGTAGGAAAATGTGTACTGACACATCAACTATTTACTAACTAATCATGTATTTTATGCATTTAAGATCAATGATCAACAGCAATGATCTATGCATCTTCTTTTATAATGTCAGCATAATTAGATACCTCTTTTTGGCTTTCAATAAAGTAAACTTTCTTTTTCTTTAAGAAGTTAAAATTTATTTGGTGAAATTTACAAGTGTCTTATAGCATCCAAGTTAGTCAGAACTGCTTGAAATTACAGACTTTAACTGTCACTTATTGATCTACATTGGTATGGAGAACATGGACATCTAGTAATGTCACAAGAACTCTGTTTATTATTATAACACTTTCGTGGCATCATGAAGTAAGTTAATAGATGTAAAACTTAGCCACTCAGGACTAGTCTTTATTCCAAAAAAGGAAAGACATTAAACAACCAAAGATACATTTCATATAACAAAATGTAAAGAGTAGAAACAAAATGATAATGGGAAAAGTTGCTAAGCAATGTATTTAAGAAACTTCAAATCCATCCCACTTCTTGCTTCTTTGTTCTTTCCACTATTATGTATGTAAAACAGGTATGATAATTGAACAATGACCTTGTAAAGACAGTAGGAAGTGTAAAGGAATTATCAAAAAGCATTCAAATAATATATAAATACTATTACTAAAAATATTCATTATACTTTCTGGTCAGTGATGGTGTCCTTAAAAATCAGTCATTGTTTCTTAATACAGTTTCAAATTCTCACCTAGAGAATATTCGCTTTCTTCCAAAGTGATACTTCCATAGGGCATCACAGTATGTCTGATTAAAAGAGTGTACTGCAGCACGACTGGTAAAGGTCTATGACTTAGTTCAACCAAGTTATGGAATGTCCATAATGTTTGTTACTCGAGCACTTTCCAGTAAACTGAAATCATATTCTTTGTCTCTGTGTCAGACTGCTTATATAAATTAGAAGAATTTAATTTCTGTAAACATCTTCAGTGTCACCAAATTTCTTCGAACAGATGTCCCTCCTTGGGAGTGCTGCTCCAGATAAGAATCATTTCTTACACATCCATGTCCAGATCCAAAATACAACTCAACGTTTTTCCGTGAAAAAGACAGACATACCCAAGAAATGTGAAAGCTCTCTGTATCCAAGACTACGCACTTATTCCAAGCATGTAATCATTCCCATAGATTCCTAATGAATTAAAATGTTTTCCAGTTACTCATAGCTCATCAGATGTATTGTTCACCTTTGGTGATTCACATTCTTCAGTCGTATGACAACTCTGAAGAATGTCCTTGTAGTGGTTCTTCAGATCTTCGTACAAAGAAACAGTTTCTTGTGAGTGAGCCAATGGTAACACTTTCTCATTCAATAACATCTGAACTTGGAATTCTTCCTTAGTATTCTTAGCATTTTTACAATGATAAAGAACAAATATTAGGTTGGAGGCATAGGGCACAATGTGACCACTTCGGAACTTTCGATGCATTTGTTCCTTGTAATTGAAAGCTGTTAGGGGCTCCTTGTCTTTGAAGTAGCCCATGAGAGAAAGCAGTGGAAGAAGGGTTTCTGCATGTCCAAACTGGAGAATGACTGGAGAAGAAACTGGCTGTGACCTTAAAAGAGAAATTGAGAAAAAAACATATACGTTTGGTGATGGGAAGCCCATGGGGATTACAACTGAGATGAAAAAAATGCAAGAAAATGATGTAAAAATAAACTATTATATAATATATATATGTACACACACACATATATATATACACACATGCATTTGTATCAGTAAAATATACACACAAACATATATATATATACACATGCATTTGTATCAGTAAAATATGTCTATATTTACACAGAGTGTACAAGTTTCTTATTTTAAAAAATCTTTACAAATATAACTCAACAACATGGTTGAAATTCTGTGTAGTAGATAACAAAGCATTTATATGAGAAGTTAAGACCCAAAATTCAGGATCATTGTAGAATTATAAAACCACCTAAAATAGTATTCATGCATATTATTCTCTAAGTCTGAGAGAAGAGTCTTTTTGATTCAAGAATTTGAAGCAGATATGTATTTCAAAACTATTTGCCTTTCTGTGAGCAAAAGTAAGCAAACTGTCCCTTTGTGAATACTGGTAATTCTGCAGAGCTCTTCTGAATGAACTTCAAAACTTAAAAAAGACAAGCAATATTTAGCTTATGTCCAGCTTATATTCAGCTTAAAACCAAATCTGAGCAGAGAATGGTAGCTCATATAATCCTTTAATTATTTACAAGACCTGACTTGGGCACAACATTTAGAACAGAGCCACAGAAGAATAAACAACCTATACTTGCTGATATAACTTGTATAATAGTTGGGAGTGAAATTTATACCTGCCCTAAATATAACAGCTTTACTAATGTGAGCTAAGTTTACATTTTTTCTTTTCAAGTTTTCCATGAGTTTTTCTGGTGAAGACTACTTAGCCATTTCCCAAATTTTATAGTAAGACTATTACTACTATTCTTTAGTATCATTTGTAAACTTATTCAACACAATTATTGACGTCTTGCTACCAACTCTACATTAGGTTATAACTTCATTGCATCTGGATTTTCCGGAGGACAGACAGCAGCATCTCCAGCAAATTTGCCCCTTTCTGATTCCCCACAATAAAACAGATGAAGCAACTAGATAACAAAGTCACTGGACATGGAAAACAAAACACATTTGTAAAACCATTCTTCACAAATATCAGGAGCCTCAAAAAACAGCCTATTTATCAGTATGAGTATAGAAAAAAGTGATGGGAAGTCACAGAGCATGTAGAGATATAAAAACCAAGAGACTCCCAAGAAGCTATTAGATGGTCACAGGAAAATGCTCTGGGCCAATTTGTGGAAGCGACTGCAACTGTGATGAAGTTTGCCAATTTATTATCTGGTGATACTAGTTTAGTCTCTCCAGCCCACTCCTGGGGCTGGAGAAATTTAGCCCCCGTGAGCTCTATAGTCATTCCACATCTCCATTCCATGACAGAGCACATGTGAAGGAGAAAAGGCTGGGAATGGAATCATGATTTGGTCAGAGAGGGACAGCAGAAACAGAGGAAAAGGTAGTCCAAGTACAGTGAGTAAGGAGGCTAGGGTCAGGAAAGTTCAAAGAAAGCAACCCACTCCTATTTCTGAACACACAACACATACACACCCACAGAGCAAAAAAGGAAGCTCTGTGAGGTGAGAAAAGCAATCTGACATGGGACTTTGTCTAAATGTTCAGAAAAACTAAATTCATATTAGAGTTAATAGAAAAGTAAATAAAGAGTAGAAAAGCATTCCTACAGAAAATAAAAGTATACTAGGAATACATACTCAAAAATTAAATACAAAAATTCTCCATTAACATTCACAATTAGGGCCCTCCTTGGTGGCGCTGGGGTTTGGAGCGCAGCACTGCAAGATAGCCGCAGTTGCAGCCACTTCAGTGCGAGTTTGATCCCCACCCTGGAGGTGACCCACATGGCCCAGCAGACCTCTCCTGTCTCAGCCGCTGCTCCCCTCAGCAATGTACTTCATTGATCTCCTGTTCTGCTCCCCACTCTGTCTCTGGTGAATCCTCTCATTGCCCCTGCACCTCTGGCTTGTATCCTGGCTTGTGTGCATAAACAATTCTTTTTCAATTCACAATTATCTTTTATTGAGATTACTATTCTCTAAAAGATGTGAAATATTAAAAACAACTAAGCAGTAGGGTTGTAAACCTCTCCTCATTGATATATTTTAATTAGGTAATCTAAAGTACCTAAAATTCATTATTTGCAAGAAGAATACACTAGATCCAAAGTTACAAAGCAGCACCATTCAGGCCATAGCTATATTTGGTTTATCTGAGTTGATATTTTAAAATTTTGTTTTGTCAGTATTTAAAAATTATTAAGGTAAAATCTTCTTAACAATTCTGATTTTGGACTCCTCTTAAAAACCTGAGAGCTCTAGCAAGATAAATTTCCCTAAGACAATAATTGGCTGACGAGGAATAAAGGCTACCCTGCAGAGAGGACAATACCTCTCTTCTCTTGCACAAGATACAAAGATCACTCCAAGTTTTCTAACATATACTGGATTTATTCCTTTGTTACTTGCCTGATCCTATTATACACATAAGTATCTTTAAGTCAAAGCAAATACCATTACCATAATCTAAATACAAAGGAATCTAATAGATAAAGTTAAGGAAAAGGAAATAATGTGAAAATATTGGTTAACACTGTAACTTCTCTAGGCATGGGGCAGTAACCACAAAACCAGGAACAACCAGAAGCTCAATGTTTTCTTATTGGCTCCTGTGAGATCTGTTAGGACACACAAGAGGTCAGAAAGGATTGTGGTAATAATATTCCCATTGTCTCACAAAACACTTAACTGTGTGTGAATAATCTATCCTCTCTTGCCACTGAAAAACATCACTGTACTGAGAAGATACAAGACAATATATACAAAACATTGTTTTTAATATATAATTAATTCAAAATCAATGGACTAGTTTATATTCTTCTTTTCAACCAAGTCTTCAGAATGCAGTGGGCTCCTCTTAAAAATCTGAGAGAACTAGCAAGATAAATTTCCCTAAGACAATAATCAGCTGATGAAGAAGAAAGTATATCCTGATTCACACTACCCTAGTTTTCAAGTACTGAATGTTAACTACATGTGGCTGCTAGTTACTGTGTCAAATAGTATAGGATAGAGGATGATGAGACAGTCTTACATATTTGCATTCAAAAGTCAATCAAATAAAAAGAGAAGAGAAAAAAGATAAAAGAAAAAAATAATAAACACAGGTAAGAAAAAAAAATATGATGGAAGAAAGAAAGAAACCAACAGGGCTACATACAACTATGATAAGTTCAAATTCCTATTAATTACATTCAAGTACAAGAGAATTTAAATCTAGGTTTGACCTACATTTATTTTAAGCTTAAAGAATTTTACTTTAAATCCCATTTTTTTCCTTTTTACTGTCTTAATGTCACGCATATGTAAAAATCAACTGTTTTTGATTTTCAACATAGTATTAGAAGTCCCTCTACATAGTACTGGATAATGCATGAACTGCACTGTGGCTGCTTTCATGCCTAGCTGTTGTAAAAAATATTGTTATGAACACTGTGGAGAATATGAGATTTTTTGTTGATGGCTTCATATTCTGTAGATATATGCCCAAGAGTAGATCACCAGGTTATATAGTATTTCTATATATATTTTTTTAAGGTAATTCCAGATTGCTTTCCAGAGTAGTTGTAGTTCACATTTCCACCAACAGTATAATAAAGTTTCCTTTACTCCAAAGCCTCTCCCACACTTCTTTTTTTCTCATTGGTGTGAGGAGATATGTTATTGCAGTTTTTTTTTTTTAAAGATTTATTTATTTGTGTGTACAGAACTGGGGTACAGGCCAGAGGCTCAGGGGCGGTGAGAGGCTTCACCAGAGACAGAGCGGGGAACAGAACAGGCAGATCTACGAAGTACACTGCTGAGGGGAGCAGCGGGCGGGTCAGGAGAGGTCTGCCGCGCCATGTGGTCACCTCCGGGGCAGGCAGGAATCGAACTCATGCGGAAGCGGCTTTAGATTCTCAGTGCTGTGCTTTAACCCGCTGCGCCACCAGGGAGGGCCTGTTATTGTAGTTTTAATCTGCATCTCTTACTAGAAATGATGGTCAATTTTTTTTGTATGGCCTTTTGCCCTTTTGGATATTATCTGTTCCTAACTCCTGCTCATTTATTATTGGGTTTTTTTGTTCTTCAATTACTGAATTATATGACTTTCTTAAACATCTTGGAAAGTAGTAATACCTTATTAGTTCTTACTGTGTGACTATGTTCTGCCATTCAATAGGGTGTGTATGAAAATACCCTGTATCTTCTTTCACTATATAAAAGCTTTTTGATTTGAGGTAAATCTGATTGTTTATTTTGTTTTTAACGCCCTAGGAGTTGAGTTACGAGAGATATTAAATAAGGAAACTCAGATTACTCAGGTAACACCAAAGGTATCACCAATGAAAAAAATAACTGATTACCTGTACTTACAATTAAAACCTCTGCTTTGTAAAAAATGTTGAGAAAAAAGTCACAGATTGTGAAAAAATTATTTTCAGAAGACATATCTGTAAAAGCACTGTTTCCTAACATACAACAAAGAATTCCTAAAATTCAGCAATAAGAAAACAAGATAGTCTATTAAAAAGTAGGTAAAAGATCTCAATATGTACTTCATGAAACATATACAGATAGCAAGTAAGCATATAAAAAGATGCTCAACACCATGTATCATTTTAGGCAATCACAAATTAAAACAAGGCACCACTATACATCTATTAGAACAGTCAATATCCAGAACACTGACAACACCAAATGCTGGCAACATGAACTTTGATTACTAAGGGGAATGCAAAATGATGCAGCTACCATGAAAATCAGTTTGGTGGTTTCTTACAAAACATACTCAATATATGATATGATCCAACAATTGTGTCCCTTTGGATTTATGCAGGTAAATTAAAAACTTAATATTCATACAAAAACTTGAACTTGGATGCTTACAGCAGCTTTAATTGCCAAAACATGGAAG